TATCTATCTATCTATCTATCTATCTATCTATCTATCTATCTATCTATCTATCTATCTATCTATCTATCTATCTATCGTGTAAACTTCTGAACTATTAAGTTATGTAATTTCTGTTTCATGTTCCTCATGATAGAGGGGGCGTGTTGGCTCTTGCGGGAATCTTATTGGTCCAATCGTATGACCCCATAGATTGACAGGAATTCCATCCAATAAGCGGCGGCGGCTGGTCCCGCCCCTCCTCGGCCACTAGGGCGACATTGAAGGGAACATTTGTTCAGGACGGGGAGCTGCGCCGTTATGTCGCCTGGCTGCTTATGTGTGTCGTAACACTTTGTTCTAGTCATTAAATCGGATTTAGACCGTCGCTGGGAACCCACCGTTTTTAGCTGGGCAGGTAAAGGATGTGTTTGGGGCTGCATTCGCTGATAGTTTTTCAAAGTTAAAAGCCATTTTCCCTGAAGAGAAGAGATTGTCTGAGGAGCTTCTCTCACTCGGTAAGATACTGCTGCTCAAACTCCTCAAGTTAACTAGCTAAAAAAAAAAGTAACGCCTGATTCTTATCTAAAGCAAGTTGTTAATATGCATACCATTCATGTAGCTACTTTCAATTACTTAGAAAATAGTTATTTTGAACGTTATACTTTCTTTTTTACTGTTAGGAATCTTTTTTCCTCCTTTTCATATTTCGTGTACATTCAGCTAATTCGGCTAACTCCTCCTTCAACGGTTTTTGTCAGGCTGTATCCTTAAGGCTCAAGTTTGTCTCTGCTACATTTAGCTAACTTTCATCCTAGTTATCTGTGGCAAAAAGAGGCTTTTCCAGTAATGAGGCACATGTTAGAGAAACTATGTGCTAAATGTTTGCTGCGCAGCCCTGCATGCCACAAACGGTGAAGAGGTGCCATTACGGTAATAATACAGTCTGGAGCAGTGAATCATTTACTTTTAAGACGGTTATTTTACTTCCCTGACGATAAGGGCTGCCCTGAAGACACCACAGCTACACTATAAACATGATTGCCTGGAAATGTAAAAGTTTGAAACTTTTATTTCCTATTTTTATGTATTAGTTGATCCCATCTAACATGGTGCAGGCAATGTAAACAAAGAAAAGACACTTCTCTTCCTTCTTTGCCCGTGGGACGCATATGCAAATGAGACAAAACAGAACATTTGCATAGAACATTTTGTACAACTTTTGATTCCATAGATATACACGCTACTACTTTCCCTGCTTATGTTGTGAACCTGAGTTAATGCATGTATTAGTTTCTTAATTGGTGCTTTTTACAGGAAACTGTATAACATCCAAACATTTAAGAAAATAAGTGTTATTAGATAATAAACAAAGATTAGTCACCTCAACACCTCTTTAAGTGCAAGTACTTCCCAGAATTGATTATTCCTCTACCAAAAAGTTAATATAGTTTGCTCTAATATCCCTTTGTTTATCACCCTATAAATATTCATCTATTTCCAACCTTATAACACAGTTGCAAATGGAAACTCTACCAACAGTAGGTAGTATATAATTTAGCAAGTTAGTAAATCATCCACATAACCGCAGAATTCCAAAATTTCTGAAATAATTCCTTGCCATACTTTAAAGGTATATTAGTTTTCCCTGATTTAAGCATGAAAAGTCCAAGGCAGGAGTATCCCTTCCCTACCCCCACCTGTTGCTGGCTGAAAGTAGGCTCCTTTGCTTTTTTGTTACTGTTAAAAGAAACTGATGCTTATATGATGTGTGTGTGTATATTTAAACAGGAAAACAAAAAAAAAATGTTTAAACAGGAAAACAAAAAGAAGTCCATTTGTCTGGTCTAATTATCAGCAGGGTCATCAATCAAGACCGGCTACGTCCAGATGTTTCAGCATTTGAATGTTGTTTAGATTTGGAGCTGATTCCAAGATTCACTGGGACAAAATTTGACAGCTTATTTAGTACAAGCTCTCAACATAACTGAAACCATTTACGAGACCGACTCTGGTAACTTCCTGGACTTGTTGGATATTTTTTGCTCATTCTATTACAGGTTATGATATCACTTGAACTTAAATCAGAACGAGCATACTGCGGCTACATCTGCCTCTTTAATCAACAGTTATATGGTTTCTTTACATGGATTTTGCTACATTGCATGCAGGACTCTTGTGCAGTGTGATGATCATGGCCTCTCCTCTCAACTTACAGGTCTTGATAAGAACGCTATTCATCGCAGCTGCAGGCCATTTGCTGATGGGTACATACTGTGGAGAGGCACACAAGGAGCGCAGGGAAGCGTCGACACGAGACTGGAACTGTGAAAGAATGAAGACAAGCTAGATACCTTTCCTCGCCATTAAACCTTTGATCATTAAAAAAACAGTTACTGAAGCTCATCTTTGAGAAAGGGTCTTAAACAAAACACAATAACTGAGCCCTTTCAAAATGAGTGTAGAAGGATATCAGTACAGAGCGCTTTATGAATACAAGAAAGAGAGGGAGGAAGATATTGATCTACATGTGGGGGACATCCTGTTGGTAAGCAAGGGAGCTCTGGTAGCTCTCGGCTACAGCGACGGCCTGGAACAGCAGCCGCAGAAGATTGGTTGGCTACCGGGTTTTAACGAGACCACGCAGGAAAAAGGGGACTTTCCAGGGACTTATGTAGAGTATGTCGGGAAGAAATGGATCTCACCTCCAACACCCAAGCCCAGGCCCCTCAGACCCTTACCTCTAGCTCCAGGAAACTTCAAAGGAGACGCAGATTCTGATTCAGATCAAGGTGAGTTTCTCTTTTAAGATGCAGAAGAGCGGAAACTTGAACTTTAGCATAAATTGGTATTTAGCTTCACTAAAACGGAACCTAACTCAGATCTCTGAGAATAATGGAGTCTGTGTGTATTCACGGTACAGTTAGAAAACCTGTCTGTATACAGCATATGGCCCGGTGGATATCATCTGTTATCCTTCTCGATCATGGAGGATTGGAATGTCCATATCAGCCTGAAGGCAAATCCTTAGATTTGTGGATCTAGACATGTTGGGGCAAGATTCTTTTGCTGCTATTAAAGCTGTAGGGTTTTTTTTTAGGTAGGTTTCTAGCAGCTTTAAAAAGACAAAGAATGGAATTGTGGTTGATGCTTGTTTTCAAAGTAAAATAACTCAAGTCACATTTGAAGGAAAACCTTTGAACAATGACTTTTAAAGTCTTGACACAAGTTCTTAGTTGAGTTTAGGTCTGTGTTTAGATTTCTCCACAGCATGAGGCCGCCACCACCATGTTTCATCAGAGGGATGCTTTGTGAGGAAGCTGTGGAGAGTTTTTACTGTGATCTAAAGTTAATTTTGGTCTACTCTGACCTGAGGACATTAATACAGTTGGTACAACGGATGGGGTGTTATGATTAGTTAACAGTCCTTTAGTCAAATTAAATTTAGAATAGGAGAAAAAATGCCTTGGTTGTCCCACAGTGGGGAAATTCTGGTGTGACAGGACTTGGTTATTCTCTAAGGCACTCGTTATTTAATGTAGAATATTAATGCAGACGTTGGTGATTATAGAAGTTTTTAGGAGTTTGACAAAAACATGCATAAAGCAGAATTAACAGTTCTAATGACAGAAAAATCCAACCACTAATAATTTATTTAGTAATGCGTAGTTTGCTTCAGATACAGTAGGGTTATGGTTTGCTTGGTTTTGTTTGTGCAAAGCACAGAAACTGTAAAATGACAAATGTGAAAAGCTTGGGAGTTTTTCTTTTCTTCTTTTTGGAGGAAAATAAAGCGAAATAGTGTACAGAGTGTCTATTGTTAAACTGAATTAGTCCCTATCACAACAACACAATGTCTCTGATTCAGCATCTTAGGAGAAAGCAGCCTCTGTTGTGCATTCAGTCCACCAAAACCAAAACGGGTCGTGTTTAGCTTCACTTTTCTACCTTATTGTTCAGTTTCTTATCTGATTACAGTTTTGTTTTTTGGGAAGAGGGGGGGCTCTATAAATATTTTTCTTCAAAATTTTATTTAAGAACAAATATATATTCCTTAGGTCTTAGTTGAGATATTTGTCCCGTAATGTGACGTGAGACGAGGTTTTTCTGGCTCATTACGAATCCTTTGAAATCTCAGCCCATTCTCGGCCCAGGCCACAGCTATGAAGCACAATTAAAACTCGCCTCTGTTTTGATGAGGCAGAGGCTCGCACGGACTCGCACTCAAACCCTGCCCGCGCGCCTAAAGAGCTGCCGGGGCTGCCAGGTTTCCAGTTTCTGCTCTTTGTGGTGTGATTGTGAAATTCTTTGCTGCGGTTTGCTGGGTGAGCCAGGGGGTGGGGGGGTGGGGTGGGGGAGTTTAATGGCTGTGTCGTGGTTGAGGGGCAGCAGGGCTGAGCCTGGAGCGAGTGGGAATATAGCGGAGGGAGAAGAAAAGTCTCTGTGTCCTGGACTGTGGGAGATGGGGGGGTCGCCCTGGGGTTGTGGGGAAAAGAGCATGTGCTCTTGTGCTAACTGGAGAGATGGTGGGGATACTGTGTGCAGGGATCAGTGCTGGGGCAGAGCAGGGGGCTTGGCACAGGGACTGAAGCAGGGGATAGGGTAGACGGAGGGGGCTATGGGAGGAACCAGGCCTGTCCATGCTCAAGGGGCTTTGAAGAGGGTCTTGTTGCTCCCAGAGTGTTTGTGATTTATTGCCCACCACTGAGGGATCCAACTCCCTTCCTCCTACACCAAAGCCCCCCTTTTTTTCTTCTTCTTCTTCCCTCTCCCTTTTTTTTATGTTTTGATAGTTCCTACAGTCAGCTCTGCGAGGGCAGAGAAGGTGGAGAATTGAGGCTTAGAAAGGGGCCTCTCTTCTCTGAGCCATGGGGGGAGGAGAGAGGTTTACATGAGTGCAGCAGATGTGGAGAGAGAAGAGGGCAGGGCTGGGAAACTATTCCGGCTCATTCCTGCTTGCTCCTTCTTTTTTTTTTTTTTTTTTTTTTTTTTTAGAAACATTAAAGTGTTGCTCCTTTGCTGGGCCTCTAAGCTAAGACAACATACAGTGCATGTGTTTGGGCCCGCCAAGTGCAAGGAACACGGTAACGTTGGGGTCACATGCAAGCATTGGGAAAAACTGATAACAAATCTTTTTTTTTTCTTCAAGAAACACTTTAAAGTGGAGTTTAGTTTTTCCAGCATTTAACTATGTTTTAATTGTTTAATTAACCTTCATACTTTGAGTGTTTCATGGAGCCACTGCGACGCAGCGCTTGTCTTAATGCCGGAGGAAAGTGAGAAGAGTTGCTTGTTCCTCTGCATGCTCAGTCTTGTTCCAAGAAATATTTGATGCCTGCAGACGATTTGCACACTGCGCCTTATTGCGAAGCATTTTACTATCTCATAGCACTGTATGTTGATGATGGCTTTCTAATAAAATACAGCTTTTTTTCTTTTGTTTTTTCTTTTTCTTTTGTTTTTAAGATTTAATATAATAGGATGGAACGATGGGTCTGTGCAGTAGGGACAGATCAGGGAAAGTGCTCCACATAGCTTGAGATTGAGATAATGCAGCTCTCCTTTTCTGGGCCTCTTTAGCATCCAGCCTGACTTCTGCCCTATTTAAGGCTTTTTATGTCTGTTACCCATTAAAAAATCTAGTAAAATGGTGTTTAGTAATTGTGGCAGAGGATTTATTACTTGTCCCCATTGGGGAAAAAAAACTAGACAAAAAGGCTACTATCATCCAGGTCAGCAGATTGACCTCAGCAGATGTTGATCATCTGCTCTGATCAATAATTTTTTTTCAGTTTTCAGTAATGCATTGGTGCCTCAGACTCCACGGCAGACTGATGTGTGGCTCTGTGATGAATCAGTATTGTGCTAAGTGTTGATTACAGTACAGCGGCGCACAATGCAACCAGACAATAAAGTGGAAGCACGCTAACTCGCACCACTCTGTCTGCCACTTTTACGCTGTCTGATAATAGATCGTACAGATGCTTTTTTTTATATATTGCTATTATATTATTCATTTGATATAAAATCTTTGGTAAATATTTCATGAAATCCTAGTGGTAATAATATTAACCTGCGTTCTGCACAGCTGGTGATGCTGCACTCTAATGGGGTAAGAAAGTCGTTATTTTTCCGAAATCTGATTATAAAAACGGGTATCTTATTGTTGTTATTATGGCAGTAATTGCATCAGGAGATTATTCTTTAACAATATCATGGGTTATAAGTGGCTTCATCCACTGTGCTTTATATGCTAACACCGTCACACCCTCATCAATTTGCTCTTTTGTTTGCTTCTAGGAACTTTAACACAAAGACCTGTTTGAGTTGAACTGCTGTCCTTCCCTGTAATGTAATTTAAAAACTCTATAAGATCTACGCTGAAATTCAATATTTTGTTCCTCCCAGCAAATTGCATTAGTGTGCAAATCCGCTGGGATTTGTAAGGAATTGCGTGCACGGGACCACGTATAGCTGCTCCATCACCTGATTTTGTGCAAAGAATGACGTCTGGATTGGAAAATCTTCTTTACTGGAGTTTGTCAAAGTCGGTGAGGAGGATTAAGAAAGAGAGCAAGGAAATAAAACCCAGAGAGTGGAGTGGTTGACCAGAAGGAGTGCAATGGGAGAGAGGCAAGATCAGAGCAAGACAATGATTAATGCTGTGTGTTGAAACTGAGACACATTACATAAATAGCATTTAAACATGGAAAATCTGCGGCAAATTTTAAAGCGTTTTATTTCCTTCCTCTGTCGGCTCATTGTGCTTCACAGTTCTCCTGAATGCACAGGCTTGTACCCATTAAAGCGCATGAACAGCTCAGCGGGGGGAAACTACGAGCAGTTACAGCTCACCCCATCAGCATAGCTTTAAGGAAGCAGTTGCATATCTTAAAACCGTTGTGGTCAAACAAACTTCTAGATTATAGCCCCATAAGTTGCTGCAGACTTGTAAAAAAAAAAAAAAAGATGGTATCTCATCTGAAGCGCACTAAAGTATTCACTTATGGACCAGATGGGCTTATAAACCTGCATATAAATATTTAAAAATGTGTTTCTTGTTTTAATTATATAAGTTAAGCTTGTAAAGTCACAACCTGTCACTGTTGGACCTGTTAACAGGATGCATTAAAATCACTGCACACTGTCCAGTGAAAATGAGACGCATAACTTATTATCCTATTGCTTGTAGGATTGATTTTTTTTTTTATCTCATCTATCCGTTTTAATTAAAGTCTTTTATGGCAGATTGCTCAGTAGAAAAGTACTCTTTATTGTTGTTTTATTTTTTTAAAGTCACACCAGGCCTATCCCTCATAAAGGGTTAAATTTCAGGCTCTAGCAACAGTCCTCTCATTGGCTCTTGCTTTACACCTGCATTGCCTCTTCCTTCCAGCAGGAGGAGACATTGTCTGCTTTTTTTCCCTACTGTGGTTCAAAGCTGCATCTTTTTTTTGTCTTATAAATCAGTTGTGATAAAGCCTCTCCTCAGTAATGCTTATACATAGGTCTTGTTGTAGGTCGTCTAATCTGTTACATTCACCCTCTGATTCAAACCTCATCCAGACAGAGAAATACTGTAACCTGAAAACGGTAGTTACCAGAGCAGACTCTCTAAATATATCCAAATAGCAGGCTATCTTTACAGATATTCCCCAGTCCCGTCCTGCCCACAGTCTACATTTCGTTCGTTGCAGACATGCCATTTGAGCCGGTGAGATTGCAGCCCCCCCCACAACTCACCACAAACACACTGCAGCTCTACCAGTGGCAGCTGCAAAGCCCTCCGTACCCCAGTGTTTGTCTGACTGCGTACTGATTGACTGAGGCCTCACTGCAAGCTGCCAACCATGCAAACCTGTAGCAGCATGCTTACGAGGCCACTGTCTCCTCGCTATTCTTTTCCAGGTTGCCACAGATACCGTCTTTCTTAGAAAAGTAAATAAAATTTCACAGTCTTCTGCCATGCAACTATTCGAACGTCTGTATTAAAAAAATGTTTTTATGCAAACATAACTTTTATGTTGGATTTAATCTTCCTTTTGTGTGGATTTTACCCAACTTGTTTATTTGGGTTAATTTCTAAAGCACTATAACTCACATTAAATGTCATCTCAAACACTATACCAGGCAAACGGGTCACATTAATATCCATTATACAGAGATATAGGATGAAACCAATCCAGCTCATACCATTGCAGCCTAATCTCATAGATGGCTTGAGATTAAATTACATAAAATGATTCAATCTATAATAGTTAAATGTATTTGAGCAGATATTGTCAGTTGTTAAATAAGTAATCTATTTAAGGAAGTCCAGCTGATTTAAGCCCCACCCCTCCACAAGGATCTGCCAACAGTTGACCCATATAAGCAAACCGTAATAAAAATTATTAAAACGGTTGTATCCGTCACGGTTGAATTATTACGACAGGAGAACGACCATCCTCGTTTTGCCAAAATAATTACCGAGCTCCAAATGAACACATCAGATTCATCCTTTTTATTACCGTGGGGTTTCCATGGTTACATACCTCGGCCAGCGTTGGATATGTTGATAACATCTGCTAGGGCATCTGAGGAATCGGCGCTGATAGCTCCAAGCATGTCCGCCATATTTTGTTCGATACTCGATACATTTCCATCGGCGCCAAAACTGTCACATCGTTGACAGTACTAAGAAGCAACTCTATCTAGTCTGCGCCGGTGTCACTCATATGCCTGGTCACTGACACAGCCCATAAACATTAGACCCTGGTTCACTTTGAAGATACGTCTTGTTGTGGCAGTTATCAGCCAGCTGTCAGAGAAATCACCCAGGATGCTCTTAGGTGTGTGGAAATATACGTCAAATTCCCAGAATTTTTCTAGAGAGCAGCATCTAGTACGTGGAATAGAAAGCTTGATACCTGCTACATGCGGAGTGGATGTTTTTGCAGTTTGATTTATGATTTTTATGGGTTTGATCTGTGAAAAAGCAGTTGGGTAGGGTTTCATTTTACCCCTGATAGTAAGCAGCGTTTCTTAGAAAATGGGTTGGCCGTCGGACGAAATCCGTGTTGGATGTCTTGTCATGGAGAAAGCTTAGACTTCTAAGGTGAGAGATGGCAGCACCGCGTGTCTCCATCTTTATTTAGGGAAACTTTGCTCCGTCTCAAAGTTTGCTACTTCTCAGAACCACCTCGTCCCTCTGGGTTTGCATTTCCAGTAATGTCTTCCAGATGACCACTTGTCCTTCGTGAAAGTTTGTGTGTTGTGTGGTCAGGAGGACTTAAGTAATCCTGTTTCTTCACACGCAGCATGGCAGCCGGAGCGGTGCGCCGGTTGGAGGATGTGGATTCGGTCGAGGCCGTTCATTATTCGCCTGATTGAACCGTGTTTGGCGGAAGCGGGCAGCGATGTTAATTATCATGCATTACTGAGAGCTGCACTTGTTTCATTTAATAGCAGATGTTTAAAATAGTAAAACATTTTTTTTCTTTTTAAGGCGAAGGCAGAAAGGAAAATATAGTTTATTGAAAGGCTCCATTCATGGGCCTGAAGTCTCATGATGGAACAGTTGAACCTTTCAGAAAAAAAAAAAAAACTTTTCAAAATACCCCTTTACAAATTCAAATAAAATCGTTGCCAAATCCTCCTCCTTTCATGTCCACACCTGGCTGCAGAGTTCTAAAGGCAAAATAAGTAAGGAGGAACAAAAATACCGTGGACCTGGCCAACCTCATGTCACAGGATATTTACTTGGTTCCTTCAGCGCTCTGCCCCTCCTGTTCTTGAATCGGACTTTTCTTTTCCTCTTTGAAAGCGGTTCTTTGGTCATGTACCTGCTGCCTTTGAAGCTCCGAGTGGTCCGTTGGTCAAACACTCAATCAGGCTCAGATGAATTGCTGCCATCTGTGATTTAGGAGTTTGTTTAAAATGTAAAAAAATGTCGATTTCTTAAAGTAATTACACTGTAACACTGCAATAAAGTTTTGTTAGCTCAGTTGACCCAACACAGTGCTTTAGAAACGTAATCATTCAAACTCTGCAGTTACTTTTTCTAGTGAAATCCCCTGAGAACGTTTGGGGTTTCAGTCAGAAAGAAATTAGTTGTACTCAAACCTATAACCACAAACTTCAATGTATTTTGGGGGGATTTTACACAACAGACAAAAAGAGAAAGAAGAGCATTTTTTAGAGAAGTAGGAGAACCTGCTCATGTGGGAGTCTGATGATGGGACAACTATAGGGTATGCTTTATGCAAATCTGGCCTTTTTGGCTAAAGAGAGAGCTGTTGTTAAATAGTCAGCGAACACATGCATTACACTAATCACATGCAATAGGAGGGCACACAAAATTAGATTGTCTCATTTACCAATTATTAGGAAGCCGCCTGCTTTAATAACGACCTCTGTTGACTTTGGTCTCCTCAGGTGTCTGTTTAATGGACTTGACGGAGCAGTTTTTCCTCCCAGAGACCGCTCCACCCTTGCTGACCCGACTGCTGGAAGCTATCGAGAGGAAAGGTGAGGCTTACATGTTAACAAGACAACCTGTCTACCTTTATATCCTGCTTAATTTGCTCGCCAATTAGCGGTTTAACAGAACCACATGACATGAGGTCTGTGTGCTCTTTCGTAGGTGTGGATAACCCAACTCTGTATCGAACATTCACTGCTGGAGGTGGACATGAAGTCAGGCAGTATTATGATTGTGGTAAGAAGCTTGTTTTTATTTTTATTTCCAGTCTTGGGTTCTAATCAGCTAGTGTGAACCTTGTAAGTTTCCAGTGAGTGAGGCTAGTACATACAGAGGAAGTTTCAGAAAAGAAAGGGGTTAGGTTTGCACATACATGACGTTACTAACACAAAGAACTGTGGTTTTCCCACAAATGAGCATGTCTGCAGGCTGAAAACGAGCATTGTGATGCGTTTCAGATCCTCCCGCTGCAGAGCTGGACCAGTTGGAGCTCTCTGCCCTGTGCGACGGTCTGCGTAGGTACCTGCAGGATCTCCCTCAGCCCATTATACCAGCTGCCGTCCATGCTCAGATGATCCACACGGCCAAAGGTAGGTGCCACCAAACAGGTTTAGTGATCATTTATGTACAGGGTTCAATATAGAATTGCTGACGTAATGTACCCTCCCCGACTGTACATCACGTTCTGTTAGCAGAAAACCACAAAAGCTTGTCTTTGCCCTCCCCTTTTCCATTCTAACTTTTTTTTTTTTCATTCTTTTTTTCTTTGTTGTTCTGGGAGCGCATGCTGTGGTGGTGTTTTTTTTCCTTTTTTTCGGCTTTTTTTTTTTTTTTTTTTTTTTTTTTTTTTGTGAGGAGAGGAGAAAAAAAGTCACCTCCCTGTGTTCTGCTGCTCTGCATTCTCTTGCTGTCACATGGCCAGAAACAGGATATCTGTGGTTAATAGGAACTAAAACAAGCCTGAAAGTTTATCTCTGCCATCTCCAAGCAGCCAATCACCTGCTAGTGTACCTTACACTCATTCTCAACCACACAATCTCTCAGCGGTTTTCAAGACAAAAAAACTGCATGACTTATTTTTCCATCTCCTTGTTTGAAGAACACGCTTTCATTTCATGCCGCTCGTCTTCCGAAGCAGATCTGTGCTGAGCGTTTCATCCATCTGACCCAAAGCCTGCTCTTCATCTTTTCCAACAGAGGTGGTGAACCCCGAGGAATGCGCCCAGCTGCTACGCCGCATCGCCAGCTCTCCGACCCTGCCGCCCCAATACTGGCTCACTCTCCAGTGTCTGCTCAGGCACTTTGCTAGAGTGTGCCAGAACGGGTCCAAGAACCTCCTCACTGCCAGATCGCTTGGCGAGATCTTCAGCCCCGTGCTTTTTAGACAGCAACCCACCAGGTGAATATCAGAGCAGAGTGGGCTCACACATTGCTGCTAGATGCTGGGGTTTGTCAAATATAGATAGACTGCAGACAGACAGGCTCAGTCATGTAATACTGACAGATTCAAATGCATGCACATAGCAGCCTGCCAGGCTCTGGTGGATTTTAGCCTTAAGCAAACATAGGTTGCAGCTTTTCTTCTTAGCTCTTGCAATTTAAGTAGCTAAGCCTGAATTACTATCAGATTGAAACTAGAGCGGCAGAAAGCACCGCTCAGACTGTGCAACCTTTAACTTGCCATTTTCTGTCTTTTCTCACCTCCTACAGTTGTGAACCCAGTCTGGATGCTTTCATCAAGATCATCGAGGTTCTGGTGACCAGCGAGTGGAGTGAAAGTCAGGCTGCTCCAGGTAGCTGCTCTCCCTCTTTCTCACATGTCATCCATCATTTACAAAGATCTATCCGATGCAACATTGCTTTACTTTGCATCGCTGCTTTTAGAGGGGAACCTTTAGAGATCTGTGCATTATTAATCAGTGGGTGCAGAAAATGAACGTTAAGCTCCTGCAGGGAAGTAAACTGCTGCACAACTCAGACTGAGAGTTGTGCTATTATTAGCTCAACTTTAGGCATTTTGACTTGCAACTGCAGAAGTTGCAAATCTCAACTTCTAGATTTATTTCAATGCAAAGGGGTAATATTATATAGGATGCGGTTTTGAACCTGTGGAAAAATGTGTACATTTCCATGAAACCTTTGATCCTAAAGGTGGTTTATTAATATAATTTTTTGTTTATATACCAAACAGGGTATTTAAACCTGCATATTCTTTAACCAGGGCAAAAGTCTTTTATTTTCTTTACCCAGTAATTCTAGATTTTTGCATGTTGAATAATTCAGTTTAGATTTTGCTAACTGTAAACAATGTTTACCTTTAGTTGAACCTAATGAGTTTGTTCTGAAGTCAAAAAAGGCAGGTGGGTAGTCTCCAATCAGGGACTAAATTTAGCAGGATGCTGTTTGAGTATTTACAAAACCTGCAGATAAAAACAACCCAACTTTGTCAGTGCTTCTCAGGTTTCTATGATGGTGTTAAGTGTGTCAAAGTGAACTTTTTTGCATCGGGATGGAGTCAAATTTGAGTTGGTAGACTTTATTTGGCAAGGCAGAATGGGGGCTTTGTTTTTGTTTGAAAGTAGTTTCGGTAATGCGTCATTGCAAAGTGAAATTTGCATTTGCTCGATGTCCTGTTTTTTTTTTTTTTTTTTGACTGGATTAGACCAGTATGCAGCCTGTTCGGAGATATTGTGGTTTTTTTTTCTGGGTGTATTCTCTCATGGCTGGCCTTATACACTGGAAACAGAGGTTAGTTTCAAAGCTGTCTACGGTGGTCTGCTTAAGAGCTGCTCTGGTAGGAGGCTGCAATGTGTTGCGTGTGACACGTCTGTTTTTACAGGGCTTGTTAAAAGCACTGTTGTTGGCTCGCCCACGGGCCACAGCCTGACCGTAGCTGTTTAAACATTTTTATTACCTGTTGGCGCTATTTATAACGCTGCTGTGCTTTGACTGCTCTCAGCTTTTGGTAATTTGCACCTGTAAGAACACTTTAGTGGACGGAGGCACTAAACTTTTTTAGAACAATTTCCAGTAGAAAAGATTTCATTTGGGGAAAGAAAAGCACAAAAGAAAAAGTTCAGATATCATTGTTAGTCTTAAAAGTGACAAGTAAAGCACATTTTAAAACAAAATAAAAAAAGATGGAGATACTTTACATTTTAGACAGAAAAAGGAATTAAACTGCTTATATTTCAAATGGATAAGGTCTCCTGCAGCTGAAATATTCACATATGGATCATTATCATATCAGTCATGATAAGCATCTAGTTATCTACCATCTTTTCACATAGATATTAATATATTGAGAACAAATGCAACTGATTCTATTTGTAGCTTCCAGTTTTTTTCCTATGTGCAGAATTAGTAAGCTTTGCTAACTGTAGTTTTAAAACGGCACTGACTTAATAAGATTAAATATGCTACTTATTTAACTTCTCTGCTTCTAAGGCTACATATTTTTATTTTTATCTTTTGAGCATTCTTGCAGCCAGCTGACTGGCAGTGAGCAGATACAGGTTTGAAACTCTCTGTTCCCTGTTTCTAAGCACATGACCCGGTCAGACAGATGAAGGCTCAGGTGTGCCAGGTTTCAGTCATCTGTCTCACACAAACACTAAAAGAAGAGGAGGGAGCCCACTCTGTAAACACACATGTTCAGAATGTGTGTGTTTTGTGAATGACCTGTGTGTGTGTGTGTGTGCGTTAAAGGGTGTCTGCATGCCTCCTCCCAGTTACTGCAAGCCTATTTTAAGGAGGCGTCAAAAGGCCCACTTAGATTCGGTTGGCTAGAGAGTCGGCCTGCGCCACAGAGGACTACTTGTTAACTGAGGACAGCCTCCTCCCCTCCGCCTGGATATCCACATGTCCTGCCCCTCAAAGGGCTCAGTCAGCAAATATTTGAAAGTTTGCAACTTAATCATGAGACTGAACACCCCCTAGAACCTTTCCCTCCCACTTTGTCCTTTACAAAAAGGAGAAAAAAAAGAAAGAGGGAGTGACAGAAACTTGAGACGTGGGTTTAGAGCAGACCTGAGCGACACCGGAGCAGCTACTGCTAATCATTAACTATCTGCCTCCACACGAGCAGGCCTCAGGCTCACGCACCTCAGAGAGGGAAACGAGGAGAGGGAGGCTCAGAGCCGGAACTGAACACTCAGTCAGTCAGACTGAGCGGAGCGAGCGAGTGAGTCAGTCACACTCAGCCGGTCGCACGCGGCACCTGCCCCAGAGCCCAGCGGATTATCTGGATTTCATTAAGAAGCGCGCAAAGCCGCAACCTTTTCAAGAAATCAAGCCGGCTATTTCTTCAAACCGGGCAGAGCAAGCTATGACATGGAGCTCTACTGGACAGCCTGAGTTCAGCTCTTCCCTGCTGGATTTAATTTAACCTGTGGATCTGAAAGAGAAAACAGAGACTTTTTTTCAAATTTATTTTTTATGCAGCAAGAGATGCACAACTTACAACGTGAGTTTGAAGAGTGCCCCCCCTATTTGTCTTTTACCCTGCAGGCTTTTACAAAAAAAGAGAGAAACCGGAGTTTAAAACAAACGCAGAAGAAGATGAGTTAGCGTTTGTTTCTTTAATGTTGTCAGCCGTGTTGGAGCCGTGGGCTCACTAGCCACAGGCAGCTGCTTAGGCTATGACTGCATATGCAACACTGCTTTAACTTTAATGTGCCTTTCCCACCGCACACCGACGCCTCTGGAACCTTCAGATTATTTTTAGACGCGCTGCCTCAAGAGGATCTAAATAATTAAAAATGTAAAAGAACTCTTAAACCTCCCAGCTAAGGAAGTTGCTGGAATGAGTGTTAGTTTTAACACAAAAAAAACAAAACTGTAGTTTAATTATTGCTCAGCTATTAGTTCCTATTTTATCCAACAATTGAACTATTTTTTAAAGCTGCCATTCTGTCAGTGCTAACTCCTATTTCTATTTCCATACATGTATTTATTTCTTCTATTTTATTAAGTTTTTTTTTTTTTTTGGGAGCCTCCCTCATTTCTTTACATAATTTTGTAAAATCTCCTTAAACAAATCTGGGAAGTATGAAAACCGGCTTTCCCTTGAATCCTTAATTCTCTTCCAGGAGCCGGTTCTATTTTGACTTCACTTAGGAAATCTGGCAGGCTATCTTTGTCACGTCGGGTGTCATGCTGCGGGATTACAGGCGTATTTCAGAGCCCTGGGTTAGCTCTGACCTGGACCAGGCATTATAATTCAGCTGCGTACGTGCTGCAGCAGCAGACCTGGCTTTGTCTGCGTGCCAGCAGTGGGAGGGGCCCAGCGTCCGCGCGACACACGCAGGGAGGAGGGGCCGAGCAACCTGCAGGAGAGCAAGTGCACAGGCTCCACAGAGGGAGACGGGGATGCGTGAGGAAAAGCATGAATCGAGCTGCAGGATCTTATCTTCTCCTGCCATCTCTCCTGCTGCTGCTCGCCAAGCTGATTTGCTTTTAAGGCTGGAAGCTGCAGAGTGGAAAATATGATCACGGTCTGCCGGGTTTTTAGAAAATTAACGGGCGTTTAAAAGGAAAAAGTGCTTCTAAAATGACCTCATCCGTCTCAGGAAATAAAAGATGCAGGAGCGCTTGGTGACTGACCCCCCTTTGTGATTGGCTGTGGTGAGTGATGTAACACGTTACCGAGCAGGCTGCCTCTTAATGGCTTTTTTTCAAATCACTGTTTAGCTGCTTGAGCTGTAAAGTGTTAATGTTCCTCCTTGGAGGAAAAAAAAAAAAAAATGGATGGTGCAGCATGCTTCTGTGTTGGGCCGCTTTCTTATTCTGGGACTGAGAAATTTCCAGTCGTTTCTCGATGAACCGTGGGTTTGGTTGGTAGCAGAAAACCATGTGCCGGGGTTGCAACGCTCGGCTGCAATGAAACAGATCAAACAGCTTGTATTTTGTTTGATTTTTATGGCTGAAAGCATCCGAGAAGTTAATCCTGCTATTAGTGTCAAGCGAAGAAATTCTGCAAGGTTGACCGCTGCAGAGCCAACTACCTTAGCTTAATCTGTGCTAGCCTCTCTAAAACCACTGGCTTTGACTGTTAAAGGTTTATTCACTGTAGATCCATAGAACAGAATTGGGTTATCCCACATCAAAGCTCAGACTGAAGAGGATCTGTTCGTCAGCTGCTGTAGGTTTAAGGTGGTGAGCCGTGTTTTTTCCACTGATCTCCAGGCGTTTGTGCGCATTGTTGTCTCAGAAAGATGCACTCCTGCATTTGCAGCAAGGAATATTTATAGACTGCTTCTTTCTTCAATGAAATTCATTCTGCCTGACTCACGCTCTCTCTCCTCCCGCTGTTGGAGCGTTTCATTATCCCCGTTTGATCAATTGGAGGAAGAAAAAACTAATAAGCCTGCAGAACAATGCTTGATTTATCTCACATGGGTTGATATGTATTTTGTAGTTTTTCAAGCAAAAGTAAAAAAAAATCTTCTAAGGCTCCTTTAATGTAAAATAGGAGGATAAAGTATCAAATATTAAAGGTCTCCTTTCTCCCTCTTTTTGCCTCAACAGCTCTACCTCCAAAACCACCCAAACCCACGTCTGTGACTAACAACGGTATGAACAACAACATGGCTCTCCAGGACGCCGAATGGTACTGGGGGGACATCTCTAGGGAGGAAGTCAATGAGAAACTGAGGGACACTGCAGACGGTACGTTTTTGGTGCGGGACGCCTCAACTAAAATGCACGGAGACTACACTCTGACTCTAAGGTGAGTCGATCGTCCTTCACACCTGTCGTTCATTTTCATTTCCTCTCATGTCCTGCTGGTCGATTTAACCCATCGTCACCTTTTCATTCGTCCGTTTGCTTTACAGGAAAGGAGGCAACAACAAGCTGATTAAGATATTCCACCGGGACGGGAAGTACGGCTTCTCGGATCCTCTGACTTTTAGCTCCGTCGTGGAGCTCATCAACCACTATCGGAACGAGTCCTTGGCTCAGTACAACCCCAAGCTAGACGTCAAGCTGCTTTATCCCGTCTCCAAACACCAGCAGGTAGGAAGCCGGCTCATGGAGGAGCAGCGTTGCCTTTCAAACAAACCTCCGCTTGTAACCTAACAGCAACTTTCAATCCGTCATCAGGATCAGGTGGTGAAAGAGGACAACATTGAAGCAGTGGGGAGGAAGCTGTGTGAATACCACCAGCAGTACCAGGAGAAGAACAAAGAGTACGACCGTCTGTATGAGGAATACACCAGAACGTCACAGGTGAGAGGCAGCTGCAGTCCAGCCCACAGCAGCAGCTTTTAGGCCGGATTTTGTTCTCTAGTGCTTATTTATCATTGTTCTTACAGGAAATCCAAATGAAACGGACAGCGATAGAAGCCTTCAACGAAACTATAAAGATATTCGAGGAGCAATGTCAGACGCAAGAGCGGTACAGCAAAGAGTATATCGAGAAGTTTAGGAGAGAAGGAAATGACAAGGAGATCCAGAGGTGAGAATGGCGCCAAAACAAGCCGCTTCGACTCCGAAAACCTCAGAAACCGAAAGCATGTTTGATCTAAATGTTTGCTTCCTTTTCTGCAGAATTATGGGTAACTACGAGAAGTTGAAATCAAGGATTAGCGAAATCGTCGACAGCAAGCGCAGGCTGGAGGAAGACCTGAAGAAACAGGCGGCGGATTACAGAGAGATCGACAAGAGGATGAACAGCATCAAGCCTGACCTCATCCAGCTCCGCAAGACCAGAGACCAGTACCTCATGTGAGTAGAGTCAGCAGTCGGAACATGAATCCTCACAGATATGACTGTGTAAACCGTTCATTCTGTTCCTAACATCCCTGCTTTCTGTCCGGCAGGTGGTTGACTCAGAAAGGAGTCCGACAGAAAAAACTCAACGAGTGGCTGGGAATCAAGAACGAGAACACAGAAGAGTAAGCATCAAACCAAACCAAAACTGCACAGTGTTTGTTGTCTTGTTTTTCCACCACCATCACAGCTAACTCTTTGCGACTTCCCGCTCTTTAGTCAATATTCAATGGTTGATGACGATGAGGATCTCCCACATCACGACGAGCGGACCTGGAGGCTGGGCAACATCAATCGGCTCCAGGCCGAGGCTCTGCTCCAAGGAAAGAGAGACGGAACATTCCTGGTCCGGGACAGCAGCAAAGCAGGCTGCTACGCCTGCAGTGTTGTGTATGTATCCACCTCATTACGCCTTATTTAAACGTGAATAGTTCATAGCTCATCTTTATTTTAAAAAGAAACTCTTCAACCATTTTAGCTAGCATACTTTGAGTGTTAATGTTAATGATTAGATTTCCAGTTAATGTAGCACAGGTGGTGACGTTTGTCCTCTCTTTGCAGGGTGGAAGGCGAGGTGAAGCACTGCGTCATTAACAAGACCCCCTCGGGCTTTGGCTTTGCAGAGCCGTATAATCTGTACGGCTCTTTGAAAGAACTCGTACTTCACTACCAGCACACGTCTTTGGTCCAGCACAATGACTCACTGAATGTCACGCTAGCGTACCCCGTTTACGCCCAGCAGAGACGGTGAGGACCCGGACGTTTTGGGTTTTTTTCTTTCTTTTGGCACGGACGGCAAAGATTTACGAGCCTCGCTGGAGCGGGAGACACGCAGTGGACTCCATGATAACTTCTCGATAAATGAGAGAGAAAAAGGCTGCGGATGTGCTCCAACGCCCGGCTCGGACTTGGAAACCGGAGGGGGAAAAAAAAGGACACCATTAAAAGCCTGAAAACATTTCAGAGACTTTGCCACGAAAAACCTGAGGCGAGTCTGAATGTAGATCTCTTTATTTTTTTCGTGGGGGCACAGAATCCGACGGATCACTGCTGAACTCCCCCCTACAAGAGAAGGACATTTGAGGCCTTTTCGGTTTTTTTTCCCCCCAGTGGTGCTCGCCTGCTTTGGAAGCTTTACCAGCCGGCATGTTCAACCACAGCAGATGAAAACTCTCCGGCTAACACTTCGTTTGACGGCTTCCCCCTCTCATCATCGACATGCATTTCTTTCTTCCTTTCTTTCTCTACGTGTGTGCGTGCGTTTTTTGTTTGTTTGTGTGGACTGTCCATGTGACCAAACCCATAGAATCGGGAGACCGTGCGACGTTGGAAGACTGTAACACATTAGCTTGTGTTATCGGTCCAGCAACAGACCATGGATGAAAATGTAGCAAAATGGCACTTTTTTTCTTCTTCTTTTTTTTTATCCATGTAATTTTTTTTGTAATGGTTTGAAAACAACTCTTATGAACTTCTAAGAGAAGCGTAGAGATGGAGAAGCCTGCATCCTGCCTTCTCATAAAGCATTAAGAGTGCAGAAGCAAACTTGATCTTAAGGGGGGGGTTCAGGTGAAACTATGAATGGACTATTTCATGTACATATGTGATGAAACAAAGTGCACCATACCAAAAAGGATCAGTTCCTGTTTTAGTTATATTCTGATCAGCTATGCAATTCTTTCTCCATTTGTACTTAAGAATTGTTTAACTGTTGCAACCCACAATATAAGCTTGTTTTATCGCTTGAAAAAGTATCTTTTCCTGTGTAAATATCCAAGAGGATATTCTTGTTTCAAAACGCCAAGCTACCGTACCGACGAAAAGAAAACAAGAAAGCTTACGATTTCTAAAGATAATAATAATAATAATGGTAACATACACTTTATTGTAAATTACTTTAACAGCTGGTATACAGATGGAAAAGATGAGTATTTTTTATTTTCTTGCTTCAAACTAAAGTTCCTCTCAGGCAAAGCCTTTTTTTTTTTTTTGAGCTGCTTCAGTGAAGAGCGTTATGGCGTGCAGTTCTCTGTTTGGAGGAGCACTCGGAGAATTCGGGGGTGGGGTGGGGGGGGACTGGTTGGGGATTGTATGACCCATATCACCACCAAAACAGCAGTAGAGATTTATTTTGTTATAAAATAGATATGTTCCCATATGAGAATAGAAGATCAATTTACATTTTACACTTTGTATATTTTTCTGTATCAGAAAATGTTTACATGGGTGGATCAGCTCATTTCAGAAACTAATTTTTCATCGGACGCCGTGTGAAAGTGGCGGAGGTCCTTTTTAAATGATTAAAAATAAATAATAAAAAAAAATGGCAACAGCTCAACTACAGTTTCCTTCCTCGTCTTTAATTTAAAGTATCTTTGAGTGAAAAAGGAAAATAAAGGTACACAAGCAAAGCCAAACGATGAAATCTCTGCCACTAGTGACGCGTCTGTGGATCTCCACCTGTAACGTGCATGCTACCATGAGAGCTGTGGAGTTAGATTTAACGTATGAGCTGGGAAAGCAGAATGTGATTGTTTCTATTTTCACCAGAACCACAGAGTTTGATGAATTCCCTCTTTTTGTTGTGTTTTTTTTTTTTTTTTTTTATACACGCGTCATGCTCGTCCAAACCGGCTAAATCTGTGTACCCCTAAAGGCAGAACTGTTTCAACTATGGTACTACGCAGCTCAGTTCAATGTGCTACGGATGAAAATTGAATTTTTAGCACATTCTGGGTTTTATTGCATTTATAAAAAAGAACATCTGTAATATTGGACATTTGCTACGAGTCTAATCTAATTTACCTCACAACAGCTGCTGGCACAAATGTTTTTTTTTTTTTTATTGTTTTTCACAATCGCAGACAACATGCACCTTTTCTGCCTCAATGCCGGGTTGTATGATTGCTCTGTTTTGTTTTTTTTTTCCTTTTGTGTCCCGCACATGATGATCGGATTGATATTTGCCAGTGTTCCTCCGTTTGGCTTTGAATCTGTATTGGGCTTTGTTAAAACAACAAATAAAACACTTCTTTTTTTTTTAAAGAACCCTAAAGACTCCTATTTATTTCCTGAATAAACTTTAGTGTCGATATCAGGGTTTCTATGTTGGGAAAGGCACCTTGGCTGCATTAAAATCAAAGTCTTGTAATAATTACTGCTGAATAAAACCATTTTATTACCATTTATTACAACAGGATTACGTCACTAGTCTAGGAAGTCTGCCTAATTGCTGTTATCTGTTTACTTTTATTTAGTGGTAAATTAATTTCAAGCTCTTTCAAAAAACTGGGTTTATTTAGTCATGGATTAAAATATTCAACTAAATCCAATGCATTTTAATTTGAAAGGCTGAATAAACAGGATCATTTGCAGGATGCACTTTTAACACAATCGAACCTCATCCGTGTCATGCTCTAATCAGCTATTTCTAATATTATTCTAATATATTATCAACTTTAAGTTTTAAATTTATTTTATTCAGTTGCTGTATTCTTTGGGTTAAAAATACAGATGTTAACCAGGCCAAACTTCAAGGAGAGTGAAACTAACAAGAACCAGGATGGGTTTATCTGAACAGCGTAATTAGTTCAGAGATCAAACATTAATTCTCAAGGGCACCTCAAACTTCTTGATTTAGATCTTTGGAATAAAAACACATCTAAAGTTGCAGACTAACCCTGGTCTATAATAAGCCAGTGTCTTAACTTAACATGCACTGCTCATGGTTATGAAATTATTTAACTCTTTTATTTTGGCAGTCCCACAATGATATAAGTAATACATGATGAATTGTACATAAGACTTGGATTAAACCTTTCAGTTTGTTGGATTTTTTAATTTATGACTGGATCAAAATTAGATTAATGCAAACATAAAGCTACCATCTGGCAGATTGGGGTTAAACACCAATATTTTAATTGTTCCCAGCCTCCGTCTTCAGACAGGAAGTGACCCAGCCAGCAGAGTCCTAACTGGATCTTATCTGTGGTGGGAGCTTAACTCCAGGGTAATGGCCTAGGAGGCCTTCCTCTCTCAAACACTCGAAGCTTATCATAGATAAAGCATTAAAACACCATCAGAGACATGTAAAAGATGGACAGCCAGTGTACCATTGGTTAAATTGCAATAACAGTAAAGTCAACATTATTACAAGCAATTAAAAAACAAATAAATCTAGTTTATTACTGAGATGGGTTGAGTGATTACTGGCGTACTATTTTACTTTAAAATGATATGCAAATCTAAATCTGTCTAGGGGTGAATAATTACTCCTGTTTCATCAAGTCAGTTTCAACACACAGTATTTAAACATTTTCTCCCTTAGTGAAAAAAGTTTAACAGGTAGTTGTTCATTCAAACTAATGACTGTCACTCTAAACTGGATAAACTTATTGATTTGATTGTGTAACTCATTCTTTTTGGATTTTGAGACATCAACTTTGATCTAACCTGAAATAAATACATGTACAAAGGTTCCCAAAACAAAGTTTTTGATTTCCCTCAATATGTATATATTTATTCATGACCTGCAGCAAAATGTATTTGTTTGCACGCAGTCAGAGCATGCGATCAAGTCTAACTCCCAGACCGTGAGAGAGCGCCATTTTCGTTGTCTCTACATCCTGGGTGGATTTCGCCCGTAAATAAATGCAAATAGCGAAGCAGTTGCATATAATCAATGTTATAGCTGGCTAGTTAAATGGAGCCTAGGCGGAAGTTCAACTGAAGAAACTCCTCGCTCCCCTATATCCACCTGCGACATAGCCAATCAGCTTTGAACCACACCTTCATGAAAGCCAATCGGCATCCAAAGTTCATCTTAAAAGGCCTCCGCACTGCCTGTTCCTGTGCGCAGGAACAGACAGTGTGAAGTCAAATATTTTAGATGTGACATTTTTTTTTTTTTTTTTTATCTGAGCAAGGTTATACTTTTTACAGTGGCTGGCATGGAGGATTGTTGTGTGTATAGTTTCAAACATCTGATCTAAACAACAAAGCAAATATGAAAAACAGTATGTTATATGATCCCAAACATCCCAGAAACCACACAAGGCTGAACCCTTGTGTGGATTGGAAAATAGCTGAAGCATGAGCATTGCCGTCCACAGCGGTTCAAATTACACACCACTATGGACGAAAAACATAGTCCTTTTTTCAAAGACCAACACCTTAAAGATGAGTTGAAATGTGCAGCTGCAACAAAGAACCTTAACCCTTTATAGGGCACTCAGTGAAATACTTTGAAAATCAACGTTTCAGGCCAATAGTGTTATTGGAATCCAGGACAGGACCTTATTACTTTTGTAACATTCAAAAAGTATAGATTTTTTTTTATGGCAAAAATTGATGTCAATGTAATAACAAGAAAAGGCAACTTCACAAATAGAAATTTATTAAACACACTCTGAGAGTGAAAGAAAAACTTTTTTTTTTGGTACAAAATAACCTCAGAGGCATATAATGCTCATACTGGAACTGACATTTTTTAGTTTATAAACCTAAATAAAATAGTTAACTAGGCTTATTAATTATTTTTTCTTAACTTGATAACTTATTTTCAACTTAATATAACCTAACAGTCATGTTTTTGGACTGTGGGAGGAAGCCGGAGTACCCGGAGAGAACCCACGCATGCACAGGGAGAACATGCAAACTCCATGCAGAAAGACCCCATGCCGGGATTCAAACTTGAACCTCCTTGCTGTAAGGCAACAGTGCTACCCACTGCACCACTGAGCATTTAACTTTTTACCTTTTTTTTTCTTAACTTGATAACTTTTGACTTTTAACTTAATTTACAGGGATCATCATTTGATCACTGAGGGACGCAGGTGATCAAAAACGCTAACTTGCCCTATAAAGGGTAAAGGAAAATACGTGTTACAGGCAGAAATATCTTTGATGTGTTGAAGAGAGTCGAC